CATGCAACACCATTTCATCTGCCCAAATCCTGCCCCCAGCCCACCCTGATTCTATCTCTGTTCTCTTTTCAGGAGCATTCCAAGTCCAGGGGCCCCATGACCCCTTGGTAGCCATGCTGGGTGGTGAAGCAGAACTACCCTGCTTCCTCTCACCTCCTCAAAGTATTAAAAATATGCAAATAAGCTGGAACAGATCCCTACCCTCCCGAGTGGTGCACCTCTATGAGGATGGGAGGGACAAGCCTGAGGAAGCCATGGTGGAGTATTTAGGGAGGACAGAGCTTGTGAAAAATGTCATGCATAAGGGGATCGTGGTCCTGAAAATCCTCAATGTCCAACCCTCTGACAATGGGCAGTATTGCTGTGAATTCAAAAATGGCTCCTTCTACAATGATACAGTGATTGAGCTGAAAGTGGCAGGTAATGGCCCACATTTATTGTCCTGACACCCCACAAGGGTGAGTTTATTCTGGGTTGGGCTCCTTCTTCTGATCCAATTTTTCTGGGAAATATAAAGAAGTCATAGGAGAAAGGGAGATGGCAACTACTTCTAATCACCCCATTATCCCATATATCACTGCTTGGGTCTAAATAAAAGATAATAAAGAGATGCATAGTGGAAGTCAGGAAATAGGGGCCATTTGTTTTGGATTGTGTTGGACTTCTCTCTCACCCAGGAGTCTAAGTCCCATCCTTTGTTGCAAAAACTTCCTCAGAGCCTCAGTTCCCTGTTCTGCACACTGAGGTCTAGTCAGTAGCACAAACTCTTCATAAGAAGGAGAGGGATATATGTACTGAAAAATGAGCTTAGGACCTGACTTCTCTCTGTTCTTCTTCCCAGCTCTTGGATCACATCCTCAATTCCATGTGGAAGTCACTAGGTCCCGACAAGTCCGATTAGAGTGCACATCAGAGGGCTGGTTCCCTCAGCCAAAGGTCCAGTGGATGGACTCTGAGGGAAGAGAAATACCAGCTGAGTCTGAGACTCACACCCAGGACAAAGATGGCCTGTTCCATGTAACAACATCACTGTTACTCAGAGAAACTTCTCAGAAGAATTTGACATGTTCTGTCTGGAACCCAGTTCTGAATCAGAAAACGGAAGAACAATTATGCATATGTACAGACAATGTACATTTTGGCATGAGTCATCAGTATGTAAAAGGTATCTAGAGCCCTGAGTACCCTATAAATTCCTGAAAATCAAAGTCACAAAACTTGTAGAAAAAGGAGCATGGATCTTACTTTGCCCCTCACCTTATTCCCATAAATAAGACATGCCCCTTTCCAAGAGTGAAATTCCTAAATTCCTTCCTTTCTCTGACCCTTCCTTAAATCTCAGAGATCTCCTTTTTTCTCTCTCCTCATTACAGTGTTTTCCTCCTTTTCCAATGAGTCATCAGCACAAACCCTTGGGATCATCCTGCCTCAGTCACCTGAGGAGGCAGCAAATCTCTACAATTTATCATGGCAGCCTCATCTCACTCTACCTCTGCTTCCTAATGGTTACAGGTATGAATTCTTATGAGTTTCTGATTCTCTGTTATGTAAGGGAAGGGAAAGGAAAAGGGAGGGAAGATGGAAGAAAAGTTCGACCAAAAAACAAATGCTGTGAGATCCTGGAAAAGTAAAGAAGTTAACTTTATTCCACTTACTAAGTACGAGGCAGTGTACTAAGCATTTGCATCCCTATCTCCTGGTCAAGGCCTGTTGGGGTGTATGTGTGTGTGTGTGTGTATATGTTATATATATCTGAGTGCATGTGATGTGGTGGGATAAAAATAGAGAGAATGAAAGTGCCCATATGGTAATAAAGAAGCATAAGTTCTTAGAGCCTCAAGACAATGTAGAATAGGATTGACAAAAATTAGCTTGTTTGCCCCATTTTCTCGTGCCACATTCATGGCAAACATTATTAATGATTTCCAAATGTCTTTTCCACTGAATTGCTTCAGATTTTTTCTCAACACAGATATCCTACTATTCATCCAGAGCTATCAGAGTTCCTGTGTGATCTCCCCGCCCCCCCTATGGACAAGGACAGAACCTGACCTGAAGGAGTTAGCATGTCTATTCCCCCTTCTCTGCAATTATATTCCTCAGGTCCCTCCCCACAGGGTGAGTTAAGGGAGGAGGCTAGTGCCCAAATTTTAAGAGGCACTTTCTCTCAGGATCTTGTTGACCCTGGACATGTGCCCCAAAAGTAAGTGCCTAGTCACCATTTATGCCCTAAGTCCTTTGTTTGCCTCAGCATAGTCAGGCCTAGATTTCCTATGTCCAACACCTCCAGCTTCCTGCTAGCTCTTTGTATATGTTCAGGTCAGAAAAGGGACTCCCTAAGATTCAACAACTATCCCCTTTCAGACCTTCTCCCCAGTTGGTTAAGATGGAAATAGCCAAACATGTGTGTAGTCAACACCATTTCATCTGCCCAAATCCTACCCCCAGCCCACCCTGATTATATCTCTGTTCTCTTTTCAGGAGCATTCCAAGTCCAGGGGCCCCATGACCCCTTGGTAGCCATGCTGGGTGGTGAAGCAGAACTACCCTGCTTCCTCTCACCTCCTCAAAGTATTAAAAATATGCAAATAAGCTGGAACAGATCCCTACCCTCCCGAGTGGTGCACCTCTATGAGTATGGGAGGGACAAGCCTGAGGAAGCCATGAAGGAGTATTTTAAGAGGACAAAGCTTGTGGAAAATGTCATGCATAAGGGGATCGTGGTCCTGAGAATCCTCACTATTCAACCCTCTGACAATGGACAATATCACTGTGTGATCCAAAATGGCTCCTTCTACAGTGATACAATGATTGAGCTTAAAGTGGCAGGTAATGGCCCACTTTCACCCCCAGGGGTAAGTTTAGGGCATTGATCCAGTTTTCCTGGGAAATATTTAAAAACTCACAGGAGAAAGGGAGATGGCCTTTACATCTACTCACCCCATTATTCCATATATCACTGCTGGGGGCTGAATTAAAAAATAAAGAGACTCATAGTGGGAGTCAGGAAATAGGCAGGGGCCATTTGTGTTACATTGTGATGGACTCTCCTCTCACCCAGGAGTCTAGGTCCCTCTCCTTTGTTGTCAAGACTTCTTCAGAGCCTCACTTTCCTGTTCTGCACATTGAGGTCTAGTCAGCAGCACAAACTCTTCATAAGAAGGAGAGGGATATATGTACAGAAAAAAATGAGCTTAGGACCTGACTTCTCTCTCCTCCTCTTGCCAGCTATCGGCTCACATCCTCAGTTCCATGTGGAAGTCACTAAGTCTCGACAACTCCGATTAGAGTGCAAGTCAGAGGGCTGGTTCCCTCAGCCAAAGGTCCAGTGGACGGACTCTGAGGGAGGAGAAATTCCAGCTGAGTCTGAGACTCACACCCAGGACAAAGGTGGTTTGTTCCATGTAACAACATCACTGGTACTCAGAGAAACTTCTCAGAAGAATCTGACATGTTCTGTCTGGAACCCAGACCTGGATCAGAAAAAGGAAGAACAATTGTCCATAGCAGGTCAGTTTTCTCTCTCCCCTCACTGTGCCCCCCACAAAGTCAGTTTGATGCTCACATTCCATGGTGGTGGCAGCTCTAAGCATATAAGCTTTTTTCTGCTGTTTTCATCACATCCACACCATTCTCCTTGCCAGGAGCCAACTTCCCTTCTATGTTTCTC